CTAAACCCTAAACCCTAAAGCGCCTACGTGGCCTTTGGGGCCTACGGGGCCTACGGGCCCTACGGGCCCTACGGGCGGGGCCTTTGGGCTGTACCCTAAACCCTAAACCCTAAACCCTAAGCCATAAACCCGAAACCCTAAACCCTAAACCCCAAACCTAATTAGGGTTTAGGGAGTAGGGTGTTTATATAGTGTTTAAGGCTGTTTGCATGCCAGGACGCCTTCATCAACATCAAGTACATGATCCCAACCTATGAGCCTCTTCCTCAGACTGCGCCGAACGACTTTAGGTCTTCTTCAGTTCATGGAGCCCTATACCCTAAACCCTAAACCCTAAACCCTCAACCCTAAACCTTAAACCCTAAACCCTGAACCCTGAACCCTAAACCCTAAACCCTTCTGCTGCTGCGAAAGCGACTGGAGCGAAGAGGAGAGCAAAACCCGCGCCGAGGTCCTGCATGTTGGGCTGAGCTGCAGCGGCGGCGACTTCGGATTGGGTTTTAAGTTCAGGCTTGGGGTGTGGTATGGTTAGGGTATGGGGTTTGGGGCTTAGGGTCTCGGATCTTGATGTCCTGGCGCCTTCAACCCTACATCCAAAGGGCCAAACCCAAAACCCTGAACCCTAAACCCTAAACCTTAAGCCCTAAACCCTAAACCCGAAGCCCCAAACCCTAAACCCTAAACCTAAACCCGGAACCCGAAACCAGAAACCCTAAACCCTAAGGTTTGGGTTTTAGGGTTCAGGGAGGGAGGGTTTAGGAGAGTTCCTCCCACAAACCTGCGCCTCGGAGACGTCTCACGCCGCTGCCTGGACGTGACGCGCTCATGAGAGAGGTGACTTTCTCAAAGTGATGTGAGGAAAGGAGGGCTCATAAACCCTAAACCCAAAACCTCTAAACCCTATACCCTAAACCCTACAACCCTAACCCGAAGTAGGGTTCATGTGAAGGTCTTGGAGAGTGTGCAGGGCTCCTCAGGGTTTTTGGTGAGCGCAGGAGATGCTAGAAAACTCGATTTCGTCCCTCAACCCTAAACCCGAAACTCTAAAGCCCTAAAGCCTCTCAACCCCAATGCTTCCGCGTGCTGGAAGCAGTGGGAAAAGGCCGGTTCAGGGCTAAACTCTACACCCTAAACTCTCAACCCTCAACCCTCAACCCTAAACCCCTAAACCCAAAATTCTCAAAGTTACTGGTGAGACTTCTCTACCGAGCCCGGTGCCCATGAAATCATGGCGCATGATGACTGCAGCAGCCCGGCAGCGTGGCCCTGGCCGCAAACAGTGCATCAGGCCCGTCGACAGCCACGACTCTTCATTGGCGTGTGGGACTCGGGTTTAGGGTTTAGGGTTCAGGGTTCAGGGTTTAGGGTTTAGGCTAGTACCCCTTCGTGCTTCCTTTGGAGTACAGCTCTACCTGTAAAACCCGAAAGCTGAAACTATGAACCCCGCACCCGAATCCTGGAGCCCTAAACTCTAAACCCCGAAACCCTAAACCCAAAACTCGAAACCCCAAACCCCAAACCTCAGGAAGCAAGCTTACAATGGGTTGCGGAGCCTTGCTGCCTCGACAAAACCGAAGTCCGGTTCGTGCGCAGTCGGGCCAAGAACGGAGCTTTGGGGGGTCATCCTAGGTAGGATAAGGGGGACCCTTAAAAGGGAACCCCTTCTTAACCCTCTTCTGGCTCTCTTAAACAGGGACCTTATTCAGAGGGTCTATATCCCCAAGGGTCCCCCTAATCCTGTCCCCTAGGTCAGAAGTAGACGGTATGGGGTTTCCGACAATGGGGGTATTCTTGTTGGGGGTCACTTTAAAGGGATTCTCTTCTATTTGGGGCATCAAAGGGGTGTAGGGTTTAGGGTTCATGGTCTAGGGTTTCGGGTGTAGGGTTGAGGGACGTAGGGTAAAGGGTGCTAGTACCTATTCTGCTGCTCGATGCATAAGCTGGTGGTCAATGAGGTGTCCGCCTATGCAATCACAGCACCCCCCAAGCCCGAAGTGGTCCAGGGCTTAGGACTTCGGCCTTAAGAAGTTAGGGTTTAGGGTTTAGGGTTTAGGGTTTAGGGTTTTTGGGTTTAGGGTTTAGGGTTTAGGGTTTAGGGTTTAGGGTTTAGGGTTGAGGGCAGTTGGGGAATCGAGGGCTGAGTGAGGAGCCCTAAACCACCGCCCCACCCCCGAGCCTGGAGCCTCGAGCCCGACGTGAGTTGCGATGCCCGGTCATGTGCATATAGACGCACAGGTCTTCTAGGGGCAGGCCCCAGTGTTCTGAAATGTGTTTGGGGCTTGTTTTCGGAAACATGGTTTCAATCGGGGTTCGAAGAACGGCTCCGTTTTTTGAGGTTGTGGCACCGTGTTTATGCGTGCCTTCCCTTAAAGCTTCAAACCTTTCTTATGGTTTGCAAGGTTAAGATTCTTACAACATCACGGAGCTTTCCCAGAGCGAGACCTCGGGAGATGGAGATGGATTCTCCCGGCTTGACTGCTCACATGCGCCTACCGCTCGCTCTGGCAAGGACAGGAGCGGCAGTTGCTGGGAGGCTGCAGTCCTTGAACTTGAGATGTTGCCTTGAAAGAATCCTTCGTGTAGGGTACCAAAAATGGGCCCCCCTGAATTCGAACAACACTCCATGTCTACTCAGTTTCTCAGGTTTTTGGGTATGGGTTAGCGTTCCGAACCGCGTTCTTGTGCAGCCCTGGCCTAGACCAGCACTAGCCTCGTCGTCCAACACCCCCCCCCCCCGCACCCTCATCCATTTTGGAACTACAAGTGCTAGTTTTTGAATTAAACGTAACAAAATACAGATTAATATGAAAGTTATGAATAATACTTCTATGAAATATAACAATAGTAACAATAATAGGTATAACTATTATAATAGTAATAAATGTAATAATAAGGATTCATACAAATAACAACGATGATAATTATAAGAAGAAGAATAAACGCTTTTGTATTGCAGGGCCCGAAAGAAGAGCCGAAAGCCTACATGGATTGTGGTCTTCGCTCAGGAGTCTTAGCGAGAGTTTCACTTAGACCATCTTTTGCAGAACAACGAAGGCGATGTTGAAGAACAAGGTGCCGAATCAATAGATGCCTGCCCCTAAACCCTTACACCCCTTAAACCCTAAACCTTAGGCCCAAAACCCTAAAACCCTACACCCTAAATCCTACACCCCGCACCCTAAACCCTCATCCGAGGGATTTGAGGGTTGAGACAACACTGTTGAGTGTTTAGTCGGAGGGAGCGTTATCCGACAACTCCCTGGCATGCACCTTTCTTTTAGGGTTTAGGGCTGGGTTTAGCGTTCAATTAGGGTTTTGGATTTCGGGTTTAGGGTGTAGGGCCTAGGGTTTAGGGACAGCTTTCCACTCTGTTTAGAAGAGGGATGCCGTCAGGGAGGTGTGTTGAGTTCTGTCATGGAGGGATGACGACTGCTCCTCAAAGCAGTTTGGGGTTGGGGTTGGGGGGGGGGGAATTTGGGGCTTACACTTAACCGGAACCCCTGAGCAGTCTGAAATGGGAGGTGCCGCTGAGACTGCAGTTGTTCTGCGTTCGCTCACGCCTTCATGCGACTCCTGCGGGCGAGCGCCGCGACAAGTACCACACCCCCCTAAGCGCCAAAATAAAGCTGTACGCGCATTCTCCCGACACAGGGTTTAACCGAAAGCCCTAAGCCTTTGAACTCTAAAACGCTGACCTTGCCCAACGGGAGTTGCACAACGCATGCTGGCTCGGTCGAAGATCGATCGAGTCTCCTGCGCCACGATGTGCTGATTCGCTGCACTAGTTACTATGCACTCCGGTGCATTAGGGCTTGAGGGTTTAGGGCTTGAGGGGCTTTGGGGGGGGGGGGTAGGGTTTTAGGGTCTCAGGGCTTTAAGCGCTTTAGGTGTGTAAGGTGCCACGCTCATTTACATGCTCCGGTGGGCGTTCCATTTGTGGTGCTCCCATGTGCTCCATGTTGTTTTGGGGGGTTCAGGCGGGCTCTACGGAGCTTTGGGGATTTTATGGGGACCTCAGGAGGACTAGGTCAGTTTAGGTTGAATGTTAGCTTAGAATATACCTCCACACATGATACCTATCCCTATGTACTCTAAGGTACCCTAAACCCTACACCGAAGGGCTTGCATGGTGCTTTTTAATGCCGAAGCCTTTCAAGTTGCCAATATTTTCGTCTTAGACCCCTTACGTGATCACACTTCAAGCGACCCAGCTACCCACACCACTCAAGTATGCGGTGCAATCAGCCCATCCGGTTGATCAGTGATGAGTGATGAACCGAAATTGCAGAATGGCATCCTCAAGGGAAGGAGAACGACCTCTGCCGGAAGAAACCAATACTTGGCGGGCGGCATGTGGGGACATGCTGTCTTTCTGAGAGCATGAATGGATAGAGATCTGGGTTTCTCGGTCGTTTTGGGCTGCAGGTGAACCCTAAACCCTAAACCCTAAACCCTAAACCCTAGACCCTAAACCCTAAACCCTAATAAACACTAGACCCTAAACCCTAATAAACCCTAGACCCTAAACCCTAATAAACCCTAATAAACCCTAAACCCTAAACCCTACACCCTAAACCCTGAACCCTGAACCCGAAACCCTAAACCCTAAACCCTAAACCCTAAACACTAAACCCTGAACCCTACACCTTAGCTCCGGTTCAACAAATGCTTGCAGTGAGCGAGACACTTATTTGTCCAAGGTTTGCGGGTTCGTGCTTTGGAGTGCGAGGGTTTCGGTCAGGGGCTTTTGTCCCTTTCATCTTGGCCCTCATCGCCACAGCCCTAAACCCTAAGCCCTAAGCCCTAAGCCCTAAACCCTAAACCCTAAGCCCTAAACCCTAAACCCCAAACCCTAGGCCCCTAAACAACCACAGCAGCCCGCCCTGCATGTTTGGATGGAGGCAGAGCAGACGACGCACGGTGAGTGTCTCGTAGCGTTTATCAGCTAGAGCAACTTGGAGGCCAGCTTGTGTTGCCACCTTACTACGATAGACACGAACATGTCTACAGCATCTCGGCCCAATTGTTACAGCATGGCCGCTGTTGTATGCAGTGTGAGTTCACCCTCCCCATGTTCTGATGACTCTGATGAGAGCTCCGAGGGTTCAAGCTCACTCAGTCCATCCCCTTCTTGTCCGAAGCGCTGGCATCGCTGGCTGCCTGGAACATACTTCGCGGTTGCCGTCGTCAACGCCGCAGCCACGGCTTTGTTCTTTCCTGTGGAAGACCAGACCCACTACTTCGGGTCGTACTACGAGCATCCTGAGCACCTGCCTCTCAACAGGCTTTTCTTTTCTGGGCTCATGCTGGCAAGTCTGGGGTCTGGTTGGGCAGCAGCCTTCCTGAGCAAACGGGCTGGAGCTTCAGCTCACGTCAGGTCGGCGGCGGGCTACGCCATGATCAATTGGTTTCAGTCCTTGTTGGCTTCAATGAGCCTATGCCCCAGTGGCTTCAGGTATGGCTTCATACCAGCCTATGACCTCCAGCCGGCATGGCACATCGCCTTTGCGGTGTGTCGGGCTCTGCTGCTCATGGTTGCTTTGTGGTGCTTAACTGTAGCTTTAGACCCTTCGCCTTTTTGGGTAAGTTGGGTTTCTTAATGAAGTTCAATTTTTTACTACCCTCCTAAGTGCAGCCAAGGTTGGCTTGTTCTGGATGCAGTTGCTCGTCTTCTGGCGGATCGATCTCTTGGAGCAGTCTTCCAACCAAAAATATTGCGGCAAGTGCATTCGCAGGCTACTCCAGATGCAAACCTTCAGCGCCGCAGCAACCGCGGCTTCTCTTTTCAGCGTGGGAATGGCGCTGTGCGATGTCTACTACAATGATGATGTGTTCATGGTGTCGATATATTCTGCAGTGTTGCTGGGGGTGTTGACTTTGCTGTGCAACGTGGCAACAGGAGTTGCAGCGATCTGGTCCCTCTCCAAGTCCTTCCTGCAGTTGCGAAAAGTTCTGCGCCTAACAGATCTCCAAGACACGCCGGTTGGAACGTCCTTGAGACAGGCGGGAAGGTTTGCCTTCCTACAACTCATGGGTGTTTCCTTCAGCCTCTTGTTTTCCTTCCTCGTCGTCCCGCTCACACTACTTGGCAACTCAGTAGACCTCGTCGTTCCGCTCGGCAAGGCTGAGATTGGGTTAAGTCTTGACACCCGATGGATATGGCTCCTCTTCTTTGCTCAAGCGGGTGACTTCCTGGGCAATGCATTTGCTGCACTGCTTCTGTCCGGCAGCCATCGGCTGCCTAAGATGGACCATGTAAGCCAACCGAGCCGAACCAGTGCACAGATGTCTTGCAGAATATGCTCTAAGAAGCCCAAAGCAGTGCCAGCTGACACCTGGAGCCCCGCCTGGAGGGCAAAGGTTGAAGAGCTATCCATGCGAGGAATGACCCTGCGCAGCCTGCTGTGCTTCTATCAGGAGGACCTCCCGTCCCTAGGCTGGAGATATTCGCCCAAGGAACACAAAACGAGGGATGTGGTCAGAGGGTCGATCATACCTCTCACCGGAAGAGAAGAATCTTCATATGCACTCTCAACTTTCAACAGGGACGGTGCTCAAAGAGCCGCAGTCATGGTGACCCACAACTGGGGAAACTGCTTTAACGACTTGCTGGCTGCAGTTATCGCGGATGCTCTTCACGAATGCAGTTTCAGCTTGGTGGCCAAGCTATTGGATGAAGACTGTGCCTTCCTTCATGAGATCCTGACGCAAAGCGGCCGACTGGATGACACTTATTGGATTTGTGCGTTTGCGGTGAACCAGCATCTCACCATTTGCCACAGCAACCCGTATGACCAGGATCCATTGACGGATCAGCTGCACCCGGTGTGCGCCTGCAATAGCCTAAACATCTTTGATCCAGATGGCCGAAGTACCAGCTCAGAGATCAACAAGTTCGATGACATGATGTACCACCTTGCTTCAACAGGAGGCTGCAGGCAAGTGATCGCGATAGACCAATCGCTGGATTTGTTTAATCGTGCTTGGTGCGTCGCCGAAATAGCAGAAGCCAAGCGTCTGGAAATGAAGCAGTCATTAAAACTTGCGTCCAAAGCGAGTATCATGCAGCGTGCGCAAACGTTGGAGAACTTGGATGTTCGAAGAATGCGTGCGGCCTCCGAAACCGACAAAGAAATCATACTCAACAAGATCAAGAAGAGCGTGAGCATCGACAAGTTCAACCATGAGCTGCAGGCGCTGATCTTTGACCCAAAGTCTGGCCTTCTTGCATCCTGGAACGCCATGGATGCTAGGCAGGCCCTTGGGATATTTGTTATAGTTTCACTGGTTGGGTTTAAGAGGATCAGGTTCAGGAATGCTTTCTCAGATGGCTTTAAGGCACTTTAAGGGCCATCCGAGGATAGTTTGCAGCGGATTGGGGAAGTGGGGCGGCTGGTCCGCTGGGGGCTTGCTGATGCAGGCTCTGGGAAGGTGTGGAAAGCATGGGACGTTTGCGAGTGATCGTAGTTTCCAACATGTACAGGTTTGAACGCATCCCAAAAGAGGCATGCCTTTAGTCACAAACCTAGAGAATGCAAAAACCATTTCTTGCAACATATCTGAGTGCTGACCCCAGGCACGAGAACGTTCTGGAAACTACGAGCTTGCTGGCCTACTATGCAAAAAACATTTCTTCTTGAAATATTGCCCATTCATTCTTTTATGGATATAGAACTTCTCTGATATTATATGACCTTTTTGGACACAGAATAGATTCGTTTAATTCTTTTCGTTTCGACTCTTTCGAACGTAGAATTCATTTATTTCGATTTTTTGAAGATTGATATTTCATCTACGGATCTAGAAATATCTTTTCAATATTTATTTGCTTTTGTCTTTGTCCGCCGGCACTTGATTTATAGAATATTATGGTCAGAAATCAACACATATATGAATTCTCATCATTATGAATTTATACGATTTTTTTCTATTTGGGAAATTATACGATTTCTTCTTAGAATGAGAAAATAATTTATTCATTTAATATTCCTATCGAATCATTCACAAATGCAAAGGAGAAAGGAATATTCATTATGGAAGGGGTTTTCTTTTCAAATATCATGATTTTGATTGATTTAATATTCTATTCAATGATTCGAAAACTATTTCGTAATATAATCTATCTAAATTTATTGAATATTCTATCATATAGAATCAGAATTTGATTAAGATGATATTATTTATCTAGATTAATGTTGCACCTTGTTTAGTGTGGGGGCCCTCCCCCCCCCCTGAACAATCGAGGCGTGGATGGGATTCTGATTACACGGCCCCCGGGGGCTTATATGATTTTAATAGGGAGGAGTTTAGATAGGTTCAAAAGGGGCAACGATGCCCGGTTATCTTTTTTAAAGGCGCGCCACGTGGAATTTTCTTATGACGCCCGGACGATTTGTCTTTATAGAGGGAGTCCCAAACAATCAACATGTCTTGAATAATTCGGCCAGTTTGTCTTTAAAGAGGGGGCCAATACTAAACAGGGTGCAACATTATTTCAATAGCTTAATTTCTAGGTAAAAAAATATCGTATTCTCTAAGGTATCTATTATATTTGATAAATAGGTTCTCGACTAATAGAATTAGAGGAATTCTATGAAATATGATAAATATAAAGATGGATTCCGGCAAATGGCAAAATATCTAAGAAATTTCGTAATTTCTCAATATCAATTAAGGATGATATATATAATGATGATAAAGGATCATTCATAAGAGGATAGTGAGATAGGAATATGGAGAATCTTCAAGAAATAAGATTATGAAGGGATCTGATATGACCTCTCAAATGAGGATGCTTTGACAGATCTTTAATTTGCCGGAAAACTTATATATCGAATCCCCAGACATTTCTTTTGAGATTAATATTACACCTCTACGCGATTGCATTTGCTGCTGGCCGGCGCTGTGCTGACTGATGAATGGATATCTGATATTCTGATTTCGTTATATGTCCCCGGTTATGGTGCCAGGGCGCGTTCAAAATTGATGAATTCTGGAATCGCTTTGATATCATTATTGCCTGGGTTCCGTATATTCCCATATTTCGGGACTTCGGCGGGCTTTTCTTACGGGAATATATGGGGACCTTTATCATTGATTTTCTTCGTGGCTCTTGATTGGGAAGATCCTAAATCTCTTCAATCATTTTATGGGCGCAGAATCTCTCATAAATTTTCATCTCGATATTTAATTCGTATTTCTTGGAATTCAAATTTCTCGCACGATTTGATTATATCATATCTATTCTCAATTCGATTATTTATTACGATCTGGAATATGATGAAGAATAATATTCCCATCATAGATCCTAATTGCCGGAAATTGCTAGCAATTTATTATAGATAGATCAAGAAGAATCACGAAGATCTGGGAATATAATATATTATGGGAAAATATGAATTCTTTCCTTCAAGCCAAGACTCTGCACAATGCTACCTTCCCTTCTTCTGATTCTTTCCTTCATAATAAATTATATCAAACTAGAGCTGACCCGCTGCTTCCAGCAGCGGCGCGCAAGACGACGACGACGGCGCACGACGCACGACGACACGTGTTTTGCTGCATAGAGCCTGCTTGACCATGATAAACGCTCGGTTTCATACAACAGGAACACGGGTATCCATCAACAAAACTTCCAATATAAGAAGTAGAATAAGACCGCATCCATTCTCTATGTGTTGTGCTACGTAGAGCTTGCTTGACCATGACAGATATTTTGTTTCATATAGCAAAAGCACGGGCATCCAAGATAAGAAGATTGGCTATATTATGTAAAGATGAGTTGATTATGATACACGCTCTGTTTCATAGACACGGGCATCCAAGGTAAGAAGGGTTCATCCATTTCCTAAATTTCATTCTGTTCTGCACGATCTTCGTGGATTTTTGAAATCCTCGAATATCTATAATTGGTGCTTTTGGACGTAGATGTCGCTCGCACCTAAAATGAAACTTTCAATATAAGCGGCTAACGTAAATTTCCTGAAAATTTTGGGCGTATAAATTTTCTGAAAATTTAAGAAAATGATGAAACAAATTTTCCAGAAATATAGAGATCGAAGTTTCGGGCTACCCAAAACCAGAAAATTCCGCAAAATTTTAGGGCTAGAACACTCCGACGTGTAGCGTACCGCATAAAACTAAATTAATCGTAGCGTTTCTTCGCACGACGACGACGACGTCGCACACGACGCACGACGCGCGAGACGTGCGACGCCCCAAACAGCCCGACGCCCCAAACAGCCCGACGCCCCAAACAGCCCGACGCCCCAAACAGCCCGACGCCCCAAACAGCCAGACGCCCCAAACAGCCCGACGCCCCAAACAGCCCGACGCCCCAAACAGCCCGACGCCCCACACAGCCCGACGCCCCACGCCCCACGCCCGACGCCCGACGCCCGACGCCCGACGCCCGACGCCCGACGCCCGACGCCCGACGCCCGACAAAGACGCCCGACGCCCGACGCCCGACGCACGACGCGCGACGCACGTCGCAAGACGCACGACCCACGACGCGCGACGCGCGACGCACGACGACGACGCCCGA